CCGCCCCAAACACACCTTCATCTGCTGCCATATGTTCATCCTCATGCTGACCATGATCAGGTTCGATATCCCCAAAGAATACACTACGCTGCTGGAAGGAGACCCTCTTGTCCTTCTTTGCGAATGTCAAGTATCCAGGAGCTGCCTCAATCCTGGGCCGCCCAGGATGGTTGTCCCCCCACTTCTGCCACAGGGAAGATTTTTAAGGTCCTTTCTGGCTCTATCTGTGTGTTTCTGGGTGAGTTCTTTATTTTCTCTGAACCTCAGCTTCCTTATCTGTAAAATGCGTCAAGTAATTCCTCCCTCCCTGGGTAACTGGGAGGATTAAAAAAAATAGTAAGTGCAAGGGTTTCAGTAACTTCACAGAGCAAATGCTCAGAAGAAATGGCTTCCTGTTATTGTTACATAATATGTAGTGATTCGGGTTTCCTGGCTGTTAATTCAGTGCACGTTCCGTCACAGCCTCTCCAAATGTATGTCATGTGCCATCTAGAAGGGGGCCCTATGCTTGAAAGCACACAGAGGAATCTCACGCCAGTCGTGGTATGAGGCACTGGATACAGGAAGACGGGTGCTGGGTATCCCGCCAGCCTAGCTCAGACCTTTGGAGCCGTGATTTTAAACACATCACATGCATGTGCACGCCACAGCACATACCATGGAAACAGTACTTGGACCCAGGCCTCACTGGAGTAGTTCAGTGGTTTCAGGTGTATTTATTTCATTTATCTTGCTGCGAAGAAATTCACGGCTGACTTTTGGGGATGCCTGCCAGGGACGAGGGAGCCACAACAGACCAGCATCTGCTACTACCGTCTCGCTGTGTGACCTTGGGTATGCCACTCCCCATCCTGGGTCCATGTCTGCATCTGGAGGGATGGTAACCGTAGCAGCTTCTAGTGATGGAGAGTTTACTGTGTGCTAAGCACAGCACTGAGCCCTCTGCATGGGTGTCTTATTTCATCCTGACAGCGACTCTGTAAAGCACGTGTCATTTTTATCCCCACTTTACAGAAGGACAAGGTGACTGAGGTTCAGAGGAGTAAACTAGAGGGCAGCCCTGGCTCTAAGCGAGTGGGTGCTGGGCACTCACCAGGGTTGATCCTAACCCTAAAGACAATCCCCTAAGATGACGCCTCCCCCAAAACACATCCTCATCAGCTGCCCTACTTGTCATCCTCACCTTGACTCATCACGTTCAATCATCCCCATTTTACAGATGTGGACATTAAGCTACAATAGGGAGAGCCGCTTGTCCTGGCTTGCCCATGGCTTTTCATTCTTAGCACTGAAAGTCGGCCCATGTTAGGATGATGAGCAGCCATTAAAATCCAAAAGATTGCCCAGCTCCCCTACTCAAAAATAAGGGAACAGAGGCCTGGAGAAGCGAGGGGGAGGGTGTTCATTCAACATGGATCAGCCAGAGTTGGGGGTGCCTAGAGCTGTCTGTCCAATAGGGCAG